ATCACCGTTTTTGAGAATGGGGCATACTCTAGCTATTTTCCATAGTTTTGGGAACTCAATACATTTCACTGACAGATTAAATAAATAACAAAGTGGAGTAACAAATACACGTATACAATCTTTCACAATGAATGAAGGTATCCTATCAGGACCAGAAGTGAATTTATTTTTAAGCTTATTAGCAGCATCAAGAATCTCCACCTCTGTTATTAACCCAAAATGGATACTGTTAATATTGAAATTACTTTCCTGGGGACAAAAACTGTCATCAGAGATAGTAAAAACACTTTTAAAGAAATTACTAAATGCATTGACAATATCTTGTGGTTGGATAAAATTATTATAACAGAAAGTTAAAATCTAGTCTTTTGAATGAAAATTCTTGCTCAACAGATTATAAACAAAATGTAATATTTGGGTTTCCGAGACATTATAAAAAAAAACCATATGTAGTGTTGTACTATTTTTACGATTTTTTTTTAATCGTTGAAGACATACAATGTCTTGCACCGAACAGAACATTTTTTAAATTACTAAAGCTGTGTTATAAATAGAAAAAATTCATTAAATTGCCAAACGTCAATAATTTTTGTCTGTAATTGCAAGGCAAAAAATGAACCAAATTTTAAATTCAAATTAGGCGTGCGAGTTTGACCCACAATTATCAAATAATTTTAGTTCAATATACGAGATGTGGCTATAAAATACCGAGACTGATGCTACTACAGATGAACTACGCCTGCGTCAAAGTCGTACGACCGGGAGCTGTTCTTTCGATTGTTGCCTTTACCGTGTCTGTAGACATACTAGCTTGACCGTGGCCTTCGTTTGTATAAGAAATATTTTTTGTTCTGTTGGAAAAAATGGTAAGTGTTGTAATAGAGCAACGAAATTTCGTACGAAACTTGAAAAAAACACTTCTGAAACTTATCTTTTATTAAGAAAAGTATGTGCGGAGGTTTTTGAGTGGTTTAAGCGTTTCCAAGATGGCCAAGAAAACGTTGAAGATGAAGCACGCCTGGGACGCTCTTCCACGTCATAAATGGATAAAAATATTGAAAAAAATCTACCGTAGGTTAACTATTCGTGCTATTTCTGAAATTAGCGATAGACAAAGAATGCGTAAGATAAATTTTACACGAGAATTTGAAAGACGCAAAAAATTTGTGCGGAAGTGGTGTTGAAAATTGTCACAATCGAACAAAGAGATGCTCGCAAAATTTTTGTAGTGACACTTTAAATGCCACTGAAAATGACCCACACTTTTTGGAAAGGGTGATTACTGCAATGAATCTTGGTTTTTCGTTTATGATCCAAAAATTGAGAGTCAATTCTTGCATTGGAAGAACCCAAATTCACCGAGAGCTAAAAAAATCCGAATGAAAATATCAAAATTCAAAGCAATGTTTGATTGTTTTCTTCGATATCCATGGGATCTTCAATGGATTCTTGATTATCACATTGTTAATCAGCGTTACTACCTCGAGGTTCTTGCTAAACTCCGTGAAAAAATCGGAAAAGAAGACTCAAAATGAAGAAAAAAGTCATGGATTCTTCATCAGGACAACGCACCGTCCCACACTGCATTGTCTGTCAAGACGCTTCTAGCCAAGTGTATCATCCCAGTGTTAGACTATCCGCCTCAATCGCCTGACCTGGCACCGTGTGACTTTTATATGTATCCCATGGTCAAATCTTTTTTTTTTCGAGAGGGGAAATCCGTCATGGATACCACCTGGACTTATGTTCTATCGCTCCAGGTTATGCCGGACTTTATCCGGCTAGAACCCCTCTGCTCTCTTTCAACCGGGGCATCGTCTTATAGACATTCATCAACACCTAGAGTTCCCCTTTAGTTTTCCTGCCATCTCTCCATTCTCTCCTCCATTTCCTTCGTTTCCAATACTGTGGCAATATAATTTCTGACAACCTTCCAGTTCCGGACCGCTCTCAGCATTTCGCTGATGATGTTATGCGCAGTATGGAGCACACCGAGCTGACCATGCAGTTCCTCCCTGACTGTCTCCCACTTTGTACACTTGAACACCGAGTGACCTGGGATATCCCGTTGTCCGCACTCTATGCATTCTTCTCCTTTCGGTTTCCCAATTCTACAAGTATATTGTTTGAATGACCCATAACCAGAAAGAAACTGGGTTAAATAATAATCCACCCTTCTGTGACCGCACTCGAGCCACATCCATCCTAATATTTGGGATAAGTTTTTTTTGTCCACTGTGCCACTCTTATCTCCTCATTCCACCTTTCCTGCCATATTTCCAGCGTTCTAACAAATTCCTCCCTGTGCGCATGGGCTGTGTTCCCGTCCTCCCTGTCGTATAGACGTTTTCTTTCCTTTATAGTCAGGTCAATTGGTGGACCTCCCGCTATTACTTGTAAGGCTATTTACTTGATACCGTTCTGTACGTCGACAGTGCCGACACCTCCTTTACAAGCATCCTTCTCTAAGAGCTAATTATCATACCGCGATATTTCTGCATCCCAAGTGCCTGATGTCAGACCGGAGCTGGGTACGTAATAATCGAGTGGTAACATGGTTCTTCTCTTGCTACTCGAGGGTCCCCTTAGATTTGGGAGTACTCTCTGTAAGGTCCCCGTCTGCCGATCAGCCTTCGCAAATACTTCCGAAACATGTTTCCCAAACGTGGCATACATGTCGAAATAGATGCCGAGGTACTTTACCAAATTTTTGGGCCGAATGCTCATCCCCTGTATCACGAAATCTACCATCGGTCTCCTCTTAAATCCTTTCAGCAAATCCGCCTCAGTTTTCTCCGACGCCAACGCTAACTTTTTCATCCAATCATCGACTTTGCAGAGGGTCCAGCATGGTCAAATTTGCATTAAAAGGAACAAGACCATTGAAGCTGTGAAAGAAAAAGCGGCACGCATCACAGAAAAGGCTATTTTATAGCCACAAGCAAGACACCTTTATATCTAATCATCCTCAAAGCTTATGACACTTTTGACATTAATTCTATAAGTTCATTTGATTCACAATTGTTTTTTAAAGAAAAAAGATCTCTCCTACTTCATTTTGAGAACAAGTAATTTTTTATTTATTGTTTATTCTGCTTTAGAAGTTGAACAATTGAATAAATCAAACATAATTCTAAAACTGTAAATTTCGTAGAAAATGTATAGGAACTTTTTTATAGCAAATACGGTTTTAAATATAATGAAATCATTGGTAGTCCCGAAAAATCAGTGGCGTACAAATGTCAGTCCCTCAGAAATTTATTTTTTTCTGTGATCTGTGATGAAATTCAGTCCCAACGAAATCAACCTATAGAATTTCCAAAATACTCAGTGGCGTCGAAATTGTAATATTCCTAATGAGGAAGTCTTGTTGTATCTTCACCACTGAATTGTATTCAAATTCAGTGTTTTTTTGTTTATTTAGTTATGTCGCCAACGCCGATTTCATTAACGTACATCAAACGTCTTCACATGTTTTTCAATAATTTAAACACTCCGTAACCTGGTAATGAAACAACTTTGGATCAGTTATTATTATCATATTTTGGTCTCAATGATATCTAATAGCAATTGCACCCCTCTCAATCCTCGCCTTAATCGCGTAGAATTTGAAAAAAAAATTAATTTAAGTTTGCATTTAATTATTAGTTTATCTGTTCTTAAACCAGAGAAAAATTGGTTTGTAGTATTATAAATAGACACCCGGTACCTACAGGCATATTAAAATGATCTCGCTTCCACTACCACGTCTGACAGACTCATCGTCCTGGGGGTGTAATTATAATAAATACGTTTCCTACCGAATGGGTATCAAAGGGAGTTACAGAGCGATCAGTGAGCACTAAATTCAATTACGTGTTATGGAGCACTCTCGACTTACCAATTACCGAACGACGGGCCCTTATTAGGTTATACGGTGACACTATTATCGCGCAGAAGGGTTGGATTGTCCGTAACAGGTCTGTTTGCGATTATGTATCCGATGCCAGCATGACGTAATTGAGGTCTGGATTCCATGCGACAGTATCAATTTGGGTGACTTTGTGCTTTGACTAAAAGGGAGTTGTAGAACTCTGGGAAGCTACATAATTATTTCAGCGAGTCTGCGTCTTTTACAATTTCTTCGTGTTTTATTCAGATTTATTTTGAGATAATTGAGCAGTATTAGATCTTGCATTTAATGAAGGATAAAAACAATAGTACCAAATATTTCAGTATAGGACTTTCAATCTATTAATTATTTGTCCAGTGATGACTGATGACCGAATTTGATGGTACCCCCACATTTTGACAGATAGTGGGTTACTATTTCTTGCTCACGTGTATTTTTTGTTCGTTGATCGAAGAGGATTCGTTCAACAGTGCTTGAACTGAAGGCACAAGGCAAATTGAATATTGAGAGTAGATGCTGATGGCTATAAATCTGAAGTACAAAAGAACTCCTGAGATTAAATCAATTGTTCGTGGAAAGCCACAGAAAGAACAGGCAGAGTAAATCGATATACAGATTGCTTATTTGGAAGAAATACATACCTCACACGGTAAGTACTTGAACTGATCTAATTTTAAAGCCATCGGGCCTTCAAAAAGATTCTGTGTTAAAATATCTATTTATAGATTTACAGAAATGGGTACTTAATGACATTATGAGAAGTGAGGTTATGTCTGGTGTACTACATTAGTAGCTTTTAATTTGACATTCAACTGAGGAGAAAATAACTGAGGTTAAGTAAGTCACTCATAGATAAATTATATTGCAGGATCAAATAGAACTATCAAATTTGCAAGTATGCTAACCTCAACTTTTGTTTTTATTTTGTACTGTTTTATATTATAACAGTTCGCAGATTAATTAAATATCAGTCATTATTTGTTTATAATATAATTTAATTAATATCCCTGAGAATACTGAAGTGTAGACTGTAATCAGGAATGGCATATATTATTTGAAATAAGGAAATAATGAATTAATAAATAATTCTCAGTACTGATGCATTGGAATGCATCTGGAAAAGCAGAACGGGGAATTGAGGACGGGGGCCTGGAGGCTAATCAACCGCAAGGTTGAGGAGAAGGGCCAGACCCTAGTCCTCTCAGTAGATGAGATGAGTGTGAAGGTACTTCAGAAGGAGGGCTTCAGACCATTTCTGAACTTCACCAGGGTCCTTTTTAGGAACCTGGAGAAGGGCAGGGTAGATTTGGGACCTTCTGATGAAGATCAGGAGGGACCAAAATCTGTATTATCTGGTCAAATTCCAGGTAATACAAGCGAACATTCAGCACAGTAGAGCGGCATCTGCTGCTCTCTGTGCCAGTGTGGCGCGCGTAAATGCGGATTTAGCTTTGATCCAGGAGCCTTGGGTACATGGATCCCGGATCAGAGGATTGCAGGTAAGTAATGGTGGCTTACTGTATTGTGGCCACCAAACTAGACCTAGAGCTTGTATTTATTACAAGAGTAGTATTAATATTTTTCCTCTTCCAGGGTTCTGCACGGATGACCTGGTGGCGGCCGAAGTGACTTATGTATCGGAGGGAACGCAGAGACAACTGGTAGTTTGCTCAGCGTACCTCCCTTACGATAAGAAAGAATCTCCTCCAACCAGGGAACTGAGGGACCTGGTGGCCTGGTGCGAGAAGGAGAAGAAACAACTCATCGTGGGATGTGATGCTAACTCACACCATACGGTGTGGGGAAGCAGCGATGTCAACGATCGAGGTGAGTCTTTACTAGATTTTCTTTTTAGTTATAATCTAGAGATTTTGAATGTCGGGAACGAGCCCACCTTTGTTATAAAAAATAGAAGTGAAGTCATCGATATAACAGTGGGATCGGGACCGATATGTAATAATATTGCGAGGTGGCATGTGTCGAATGAGCCGTCAATGTCGGATCATAGACATATCCACTTTGAAATTATAACGGATTATAATCCGCAAGTAAGAACCTACAGAGACCCAAAAAGAACTGACTGGGACTCCTATAGAACGGAGTTACAGGCCAGGACTAGGGAAATCTGTACAAAACTAAGGAACACATATGATCTTGAGAGGGCCGTGGAGGAACTCCAAAACGCCGTCACAAGATCATATGAATACAGCTGTCCTATCAAAGTGAGGTCCGATAAGCACACCGTACCCTGGTGGAGCAAGGAACTCACGCAGTTGAGGGGACAGACAAGAAAACTATTTAATAGAGCAAAGCGGACAGGAGAGTGGGAGGCTTATAGAGCAACCCTCACTGAGTATAATAAAGAAATTAGAAAAGCGAAGAGAGACTCATGGAGGAAGTTCTGTGAGGATATTGATAGTGTCCCACAGTGTGCTAAACTCCAGAGACTTCTCTCTAAGAATGGACATACGAAACTCGGGTCTCTCAAAGCACCGAGTGGGGAATATACCAAAACTGGAAGGGAGACATTGGAATTACTTCTAAATACTCACTTTCCAGGCTCCAGGTTATTAAATCATGGAGATGAATATGACTGGAATCACCAGCAGAGGGTAACGACCGGGTCTCGACAGAACTGGGAGGTTGCCAAGATGGTGGTGAGTCAGTCACGAATAAGATGGGCAATAAGTTCTTTTGACCCATTTAAATCACCAGGAGCGGATGGAATCCTACCTGTACTGTTACAGCAGGGAGTGGACTGTCTAGCTCCGGTTTTAATTCACGTCTTTAGAGCCAGCATTGCATTTAGTTATATAGCGCTGGCATGGAAATCGACGAAAAAAGAACGTGGCGTTTATTCCTAAACCAGGGCGTCCATCGTATGCCCAGGCAAAAACGTTGGAGAGAATAGTTGATTGGCATATAAGGGACGGGGTGTTGAGGGCAAATCCTCTGCACGGGTACCAATACGCCTATCAGGCAGGCAGATCAGTCGACACAGCCCTTCAT